TTTTTTTTTTTTTTAATTTTTACCTCCTTTTGTGTTGGTTGGGTAAATTTACTCCTGAAATTAAGGGTTCAAAAGCATTTATTTAGTTTCATTACTCTTATGAATGATATAGGATGATGATTTGAAAAATGAGCTTGCTAAACATTTTGATCGTGAATCAGACCAATTCAAGACAGCACTTCAAATTGTAAGTGATACATACATTTCCTGTCACAATACTATTAAACTTTTGAAGTTGTTGTGCTCGTGTCTTTTGTGTCTACTACTTATTCATGAAGCTTTTCCAATTGAATGTTATGTACTGCGTAACGGTATTCCTGATGGCTGGCGTTTTGTTGATAAATTAAATGTTAGCTCTAATTTATTGTAAGTGATACATACACTTCCTGTCACAATACTATTAAACTTTTGAAGTTGTTGTGCTCGTCTTTTGTGTCTACTACTTATTCATGAAGCTTTTCCAATTGAATGGTTATGCACCGTAACGATATTCCTGATGGCTGGCCTTTTGCTGATAAATTAAATGTTAGCTCTAATTTATTGTGATTATTCAATTTCAGATGGGTGATGGTCTGCGTGCTTATAAGGCGGCTCGACTTGCCAGGGTTTCTGCTCATCCTAATGGCGGGACCGTTTATGTGGGAGCTTTATTGCATGAAGATGGTAGTCTTTTGTGTTCATTCTTTAACTGAAAAACTGTCCACTTCCGCATGGGCTTATGTAATCAAACCTGTTTTTTTGTGTAGTTATAGCATGTGAATAACCTTGGAACACTTGTGCTTTGCTCAAGCTGGAATGTATGGTTTTAATGAATCAGAAATGGTGGTTGCCTGATTAATCAACATGCATTGTTGAAATTATTTTTCCATTTGTTGATGAAACAACAGATAAAATGGGTCCGGTCTTAGCAATTAACAAAGGAAGATCCTTTCTTCAAGTGACCTCTTCGTTGTCTTTTGTAAAATTATAATGGATTGTTCAGAAAATGATTAAATGTCCACCCCCCACCCCCCCGCGTCCATTTTAAGTGTCGTGAAGCACTTGGATCAACAGTTTGAATAAATTTTGAACGCGCGGATATCATAAATAAATACCATATATAAGTAATTAGTACGTACCTCGTGTGATGTAGGAGATCGATATATTAAATGAGTTATTATCACATGCGAGTTATTATCACATGCTTTGTTTAAGTCTAAAAAGTAATAGGATTATCATTTATTTTTCAAATCTTTAATTGGTGTTAAGTTTAAAAAATAACAAGATTATAATCTATTTTTTGTCTGGTTTAATTAGCATTATTTTAATAGGATTATCATTTATTTTTAACCTCTTCAATTGGCGTTAAGTCTAAAAAATAACAAGATTATAATATATTTTTCCTTTGGTTTAATTAGCGTTATTTTTTCAGCCAGAACATTAAATATGAGAATGTTAGGGCTAATTATTATATTATCTTACTAACACATTTATACTAACATAAATTTGATTTTATTATAAATATTTATTCCTTGATATAAGAGAAAATAACAATTTTTTTTATTCTTGTTCACCATATAATACTTAATTATTATTTTATTACAAACTTTATTATCATATAATGTCATTATTATTTATAAAAGTTATAAAAGTACGTCTCTTTTTTATTTATTTATTTAATCATTTCAAAATATTTAAAGCTCATTAGTATTATTTATTTATTTAATCATTTCAAAATATGTAAATAAATTTAAAATTAAATATTGTATAAATATTTTACAAAAACAAATGTTTTATTATAATTTAATTTAATTTGTATACCAATTAAATAACTTTAATTTAGATGCCAAAAACTCAATCTCTTATATAATCAAGATTTTTCTAAATCGCATTATAAGGATATATAGTTTATTTAGCATACGCTTCAATGAAAGTGTAGTTTATAAGAATTTATCATAGAAGTATGATTGTCCCATTTTGTTGTGTTTTTCCTTGTTATTTTGTCTTTCTTTTTCCCTCATATTAGGTCTTTTAGATGGTTCTGGGTTGTTTTGTCGTTTATTGTGTGTTTTTCATTGTTTCGGTCTTTTTTGTGTTTTCCGTATGTTTATCTGGTTTTTTCATTTTTTTTGGTGTGCAGGTCGGAGGCCTCGTGAAGATTAGATTTAGCCCGGGAAACCATGGTTGTGTATATGGGTTCGTTGGCTACACATAAGAAGAACCGAAAATCGATTTCGAGTTCGTATGAGTCCAGACGAGCCAAAAACGCGAAGTCGCACGCGAATCACGCCTTTAGTGTGATGGTCAAGAGCTTTGGGAGGATTGTATTTCAAAAATAATTTGGCCACTCAAGAATCATTGAATAGAGGGGTTCGTTAGCGACGCGTAGAA